AATATTGATGATAATATGCTATTGAGCAGAACTGAGGCTGGACACTGCCATCTTGGATTTGACATGAGCAATCTCAGACTCAAATATTACCATGTAGTATTCCTCTGCTATAATTTATTAAAGCCTGGTACACATGAAAATCGGCTGGTTCAGTAGGAACTGGCTGAGTTTTGGTCTGTGTGTACATCTGTCTGTTCAACAGAATGCAGTCTAATGACTGACTTCTGTTGAACGAGCATGCTGAAGAACCAGCATTCGATCTGTGCTTGCAGCCAATGGCTGCGATTGCTGATCAGTGTAGTCTGGTAGGGGGGAGTCCCCCCTGTTAGAATACAATAGCTCAGTGAGAGAGATATCTGCATCAAAATCACTTATTATTGTGGGGATCTATCTAGTTTTTATTTGTTCAACCTGCTGGATGAATGAGAAAAAAAAACTGTGTGTACCCAGCTTTAGGCTTACTGGACAGCTTGTCATTTATGTGATGACAGGGCAGAGAGGCTGATAATATGAACTTGCACACAGCGGAGCACCGAGTATTGCAGCAACAACACCTCCTCCACTCTGTGATGTTACAGTGACCTTTTGCTTTGTTTCCATTTTCTCTGCAGTAATTACTTTAACTGGCACTTCTGTTTACTTACATTTTGGTGCACAGATAAAAAACTGCCAATATTGCCTGAAAAACCTAATGTTTACTAACAAGTAGCTATGTAGTTCCCATTGTTTGCCTTCATAGTGGCAGGGGGAGGGGGCAAAATCAGAGGCTGGCACACACAGTAATGACACACAGTAATGATCACTTACAGGAAGTAAGTTACGCTGGACACACTATGGAAACATTAAAAAAAAAAAAAAACCAGTGGGGAAACTTGCTTGTTATGCTCTACTGCTTCAAGTTTTCAATGAAAAAGTGCTGGTTTCTGTCTAAAGTTGGCCATACACTATGCAATCTGATTGTACATTCTCCTGTAGTTTTGCCAAAAATGTATAATACGGGGACAAACCTAAACATCCTCTTTGCTTTTCATCTAATTAGGCAGGCCCTCATACTACATAGTTGATGGTGGATCTAAGAAAGATTGCACAACCAATCAAAGTGTATGGACACCTTTATTTATATGAAATATATTTATTTAAGTGTATATGCTTTAAAGGCTTTTTTTAATTATACTGTATGTATACAATCTTTATCTTACAAAAAACATTTAGCGCAAAATTTTAACCATTCGTTAAAGGGGCAGCACATCAGAAGTGACTCCCTTTTCAACACCACTGTCTCTCACTGAATTATTGTGCTAAACCCTCTGTTAAGATATGAGTCTTTACTCTGATACATTCCGTTCTGTGTGTGTCACCTTTACCTATCAGTCTCTAAGCAGAAGAATCTTTAATTCTGGAAAGAGCAGTGAAAAAACCTAGAGGATTGCCTTTAGTTGTATAAAGAAACTACATGGAGACAATTATAAAGAGGCATTATGGCCAAGTACTGCCACGTATCCTCAGTACCGGTACCTGTCATATTTGTGAAACATGTAAATGCCTACCTAGCAGTAACTAAACATTATAAATTTGCATCTCCAAAATATTGCTCTTTTAGGGATGTGAAGTGGGGCAAAACTGTTCCTATGGTGCTTTCATAAAGCTCTGCTGTATGCTTTTTGCTTGTTTGTGCCAGAGTGATGCAAGCTCAGAAACATGATGGTTTTACTGTTTCTACAGCTAAAAGCACTAACACTCAAGGATTTATAGAAATCATTGAGTGCCTTCCGAATGCAGAAAATGGCAAATTGTCACAACAGTAGTATGCAGAGAATTTTATAGCTTGAGTTCCCAATAAAAGACTTCAAATGCAAAAAACACAGTTATCAATAATAAAATATTAGTGCTACATCCCTAATGTATATTTAAACCGAAAAAAGACCCAAGAATGAGGACCTTTGAGGCACAACATAAGCATAAAAACATGATTTATTATATATCAAAATCCAACATATGTGACATCATTTTGTTTCACAAAAAAAAAAAAACAGGATATTGCAATATCCTACAAAAAGCAAAATGCAGGCGCACTGTAGAGTGCTTCCAGTGACGTTTTGCAGGTTGCAGAGAGGAGTTAGCAGTATTTCTTTAAAGGCCCCATATTGTTCATATGAAATATTTCATAATTATCTGAATAAAAATTACCTCTTACATTCATTGATGGACACAGCGGCTTCTCCTTTAACATTAACGAAGCAGGGTTTTATAGCCCCTCCTATAGGAGTAGGACACTATTTGGAAAAAAAAAAAAGACTTGGCACCTCCTATGGGCAGTCCTCTCTGGGTATAAAACCCCCTGTGTGCTATAAGTCTAGTCTTTTCTGCCTATTGTCTCAGGAATATGGACGTGACGTTTTGCTGGGACTTATGGTCCCACAACATTTTCTTTTTCTTTTCTTTCCTTGGACTATTGTGCTTTTGTTTATAAGGATTGGAGTAGGTCAAAGTGTCCGTTTGTGCTACCTAAACTCTTCGCAGTGCATTATCCCTTTGTGGAGACCCTGCTGAAGAAGTGGACATATCTACCGATGGTTGATTTCCCCCCCCCCCATCTCCAGGATTAACAAGTCCATGCTGATTTCTGTGGAGGAATCCCTCTCATTTAAGGACCCTGCGGACTACATGGTAAAGGCGGTGGGCCGAAACGCATTTTTCGCCTCTCTTGCTCCAGGTCCTTTAAAGCCCCTGCAGGTGTCATTAAGCGTCCCTGGCCCCAGAAGTCCTCCAAGCCTGTGGATAAGTCCCCCCCCAGCATGAAGGTTTGCCCCCACCCGGCCCATGGACCTCCCTCATTCACAACATGTGGGTTCACAAGATCATTCTATCAGGATAGAGATTCATTCCCTTCCATGGACAGATTTTTCCCCCCCCCAATCTGTGGCTTTTGCCAGGTCGCCTGCAAGACCTTTATGGGGCTATGCAGGAACTGCTGCTCCGTGGAGTGGTCTTCACAGTACCCAATTTGGAGTGTGTTTGTGGCTTCTACTCCAACTTGTTTACTGTTCTGAGGCGGGTTCGCCCAATCCTGGACCTCAAGGCCCTGAATGTCTTTGTACAGGTTCACATGTTCAAGATGGAATCTGTTTGCTCAGTGGTGGCCTCCCTCCACTACGGAGATTTCCTGGCCTCCTTGGACATCAAGGACGCTTAACTGCACATTCCCATTTGTGAGGGGCATCAGCACTTCCTACGTTTTGCCCTTTGGTCTGGCCTCCGCACCAAGGTCCTAGCCCTGGCCTTATTGAGGCAACGGGGTGATCGGCTACCTGGACGCGTGTGGAGACTCGCTCCTTGCCATTAGACAGTTTGGAGATCAACATGCGTTCTCTACGGGACTGCAGGTGGATCCTGAACCTCAGGAAGTTGGTGTTGACTCCGTCCAGGCGCCTGGATTATCTGGGGCTGATTCGCAATTTGGAGCAGGCCAAGGTGTTCCTTTCGTCTGAGAAATTATTGAAGCTTTGGTGGTTCAGCAACTACTGGCTTGCAGGTGGTCCTCTCTGCGTCCTTGCATGTGGGTGTTAGGCTTGATGGTGGCTACCTTCGAAGTGGTTCCGTATGCCAAGTTTCATATGAGAACACAGAGGGAAATCCTATTGAAACCGAACAGGGCTTCCACCTCGTTGGACCTTCAGATTCACCTGGAATGGTTGACGAGGGCCTCCCTTCTTTGGTGGATGAGGTCCCTGGATCTACAGAATGGAAGGTTTTTCCTCCCCTTTCAATGGACTGTGGTCACGACAGATGTCAGCCTGTTGGGCTAGGGAGGAGTCCTGGGAGCAGACTGCACTCAGGGTCGATGGACTCCGTGGGAAGCTCGTTTACCGATCAATATCCTGGAGCTTTGGGTGATCAGATTGTCACTGACACATTGGAAGTACTGTCTGTTGGGTCTGCCGAACAGGATTCAGTCGGACAACGCCACTGCGGTGGTGTATGTCAATCATCAGGGGGGCACAAGAAGTGCAGCAATGGTGCTGGAGGCATCTCACATTCTGCAATGGACGGAGAGGTTTGTTCCGGCTCTGTCCCCCGAAGCCTCCATTTGAGGCCATTCGGGAAATTCCCTTGCTTACGCTTTCACAAAAGGTTGCCTTCCTTGTCGCTATCACTGTGGCTCGGAGGGTGTTGGAGTTGGCAGCTTTGTCCTGCTTTTCGCCCTTCCTTCCTTTCTTCCGAAGGTGTTGTCAGAATGCCCGCCGCAGTCCCACAGTCCCGCTATAAGTCGCTGATCGCTGCCATTACTAGTATAGAATAAAATAAAAATTCCACTGTATATATATTCCGCCATTTGTAGACGCAATAACTTTCACGTAAACCAATTTACATGTATTGGGATTTTTTTTTTAGCAAAGACATTTAGCAGGAAACATTTTGGCATTTTGAAGAAACTTGATTTTTTAAAATTGTTATTGGTTATGTTTTATAGCAAAAAATCTAAAATATATATATTTTTTCCAAAAATTGCCATTTTTTTTTTTGTTTATAGCGCAAAAAATAAAAAAAAACAAAAAAATGCAGAATTGATCAAATACCACTGAAAGAAAGCTTTATTTTGTGGGGGAAAAAGGACATCAATTGAATTTATATACAGCGCGCAATTGTCAAAGTAACAAAAAATGGCCTGGTCAGGACGGGGGGGGGGGGGGGGGGGGGGGGGGGGGGGGGGGGGGGGGGGGGGGAGTAAATCCTCTGGAGGGCGAGTGGTTAATCAGTAATAGACCAGAGAAAAAAAATAGGTTTCTTACCATTCCAGAATGCATCCTGCTTGAACTTTGCTGCCCTCTATTGGCAAAATGAAAATGTTGTATGTTCCAAAGCTAAATAGCAACACAATATAACTCAAATGTATTGGAATGTTCACAAAATAAAAATGTGTATTAGTTGCCAGATGATGTGGAAAATGTGATTATTTGATGATGGCTTTTTAAAGTTTACCAATTTATATTGTATTCTAGAAAACAGATCGTTCAAAAAGATTTGAATTCCTTCTCAAGCAGACAGAACTATTTGCACATTTCATTCAGCCAGCTTCACAGAAGTCACCAACTTCTCCCCTCAAAGTGAAATTAGGACGCCCCAGGATAAAGAAAGATGAAAAACAGACCTTACTGTCTGCTGGAGAGTATGTCAATTTTCATTAAACTTTTATAATATGTAAAAAATATCTATCTTTCTATCTATCCTTGTGCACAAAAATTTTAATACACTTGAAGAATTGGTAACAGCATGTACAATTTTTAAGTAAAATTTGAGTGAGCAGGCAGAACACTTTTCTTTTATTTCTTATGTGATTCAGATTTAATTGTAGGTAATAACAGAATGCCTCAGTCTTACAACAAAACATAGCAACAAGTAAACAAATTAAATGACCCCTGTTCAAAAGTCTGCATACCCTTAGTTCTTGATTCTGTGCATTTCCCCCTTTAGCATCAATGACAGTGTGCAATCGTTTGTAATAGTTGTCTATGAGACCCCAAATTCATGCATGTGGTATAGCTGCCCATTTGTCTTGGCAAAATGCCTGCTGGTTATGCAGAGTCTTTGGTCGTCTTGCATGAACTGCACATTTGAGATCTCCTCAGAATGGCACAGTGATATTAAGGTCAGATAACTGTGATGACCACTCCAGAACCTTCACCTTTTTCAGCTGTAATCACTGGAAGATCAACTTGGCCTTGTGCTTAGGGTTATTCTCCTTCTGGAAAGTCCAAGAGCATCACATGCGCAGCTTTCGTGCAATTTTGTGCCAATAGTCTGGCAGTATTTTCTGATAACATGCTGCATTCATCTTGCCATCAATTTTTACAAGATTTCCCCAAGATTTCCCATGCCTTTAGAGCTCATACACTCCAAAAACATCAGTGAGCCACCACCATGTTTCTCAATGGGGAAGGTATTCTTGTTGCTATAGGCCTTGTTAACATCTCTCCAAACCTAGCGCTTTTTGGTTGTGACCATAAAGCTCTATTTTGGTTTCGTCACTCCAGATTACAGTGTTCCAGAAGCTGTGAGCCGTGTCAAGGTGTTGTTGTGCATATTGTAACCAGGCTTTTTTGTGGCATTGGTGGAGTAAAGACTTATTACTGGCAACTTGGCCATGCAGCTCATTTTTGTTCAAGATCATCGTATTGTGGCCCTTGAAACAACCACACAACAACCATGCCTTTTTCCAGAGCAGCCTGTTTTTGTCCTGAGATTACCTGTGGGTTTTTCCTGAACACGTTTTCTGGCAGTTGTGGCTGCAATCTTTCTTGGTCTATTTGACCATGGCTTGGTATCAAGAGATTCCCGAATTTTCCACTTCTTAGTAAGTGATTGAAAAGCATTGATTGGCGTTTTCAAGGCTTTGGATATCTTTTTATATCCTTTTCCATCTTTATAAAGTTCCATTTCCTTGTTACACAGATCTTTTGACAGTTATTTTTTGCTCCCCATGGCTCAGTATCTAGCCTGCTCAGTGCATCCACGTGAGAGCTAACAAGCTCATTGACTATTTATACACAGACACTAATTGAAATTTAAAAAGCCACAGATGTGGGAAATGAACCTTTAATTTCCATTTTAACTTGTGTGTGTCACCTTATGTGTCTGTACCAAGGCCAAACATTCCAGACTTTGTAAACTTTTGATCAGGGCCATTTGGGTGATTTCTATTATCATTATGATTTAAAAAGGTGCCAAACAACTATGTGATAATAAATGGCTTCATATGATCTCTATCCTTAAATAAAAGACAGTTTTTTAGAATGAAAAGTTAAATTTTCCATATCAATGCCAAAATGTCATAATTTCTGCCAGGTTATGCAAACTTTTGAGCACAACTCTATCTATCTATCTATCTATCTGTATGTCTGTCCATCTAAGTGACATTGCTAGAAGTTATTTTCTGCTATTTACGAGCCATCCCTACAAATATACAGTAAAGTTGCTAATTGCAAGTGCTTTTAATTGAATCTGATCAGTTACATAAGTAAATGTGTGTCAAAATACATTGAGGTTGCTACGGGCAGGGGTCAGGCTCGGAGGTCAGTAGCTATGGCAGTAGAGAGGCTCCCACTAGCCAGCTGGATACATGTAGCAGCAGATCACCCTGGCGGATGACATGGGCTCACCCGCTGTACACTAACCAGTGTTCACGAGAGCTCCTGATAGTGAAGACGGGTTTTGCTGTGTGTTAGAAACAAGTCATGGTCCTGTGGATCGCTGCAATAGGAGGTGAGCAAGCTGGGGTCCAGTAGCTGAAATAGCAGGTAGGAATCAAGCAGCAGTCTAGTTAGTAAACAAGCTAAATGTTGATAATTCGTGGTCGCAGGTTGGGATTAAGCAGAAACGTAGTCGAGGAACAAGCCAAAGGTCTGTAAAAAGTGGCAGCAGAAATATGGTTGGCAGCGGGAGTGACAAGAGTGAGATATTGGCTGGAGAGAGCTCAATAATCTGGCAAACAAGAAGTGCAACAGAAGTTCATGGAACGAGCATGGAGTTCAAAGCTCAGCAGAAACAAGGCACAAGACGGTATTGTCCAATGGATCAGAAAGGGTGCTGTCTAGCATCTCAGGTAGCTCAGAAAGGAGACACATCATCAGGCACAGCAAAGGATGCAGGTTCAGAACTGGATCCTGAAAATACTCCCCTCCTCTCAGGATGTTCTCTGGGGTCTTAGGGCCAGGTTTGTGAGGGAACCGCTGGTGGAATTCTCTTACTAATGTAGGGGCATGAATGTTCTCTTCAGGTTCCCAAGAATTTTCATATGACCCATATCCTTCCCATTGAACCAGATACTGTTTGTTTCCTGGAATCAAGAATTTTATCAATCACAAATTCCTCTTCTCCTTGCACCTCAACAAATAGAGGGGGTGGGAGAATTCTCCCAGAGAAGGAGTTTCCGTAAAATGGCTTGAGCAAGGATGCATTAAACACCTGATGAATCTTCATACTGTCATGAAGTTTTAAACTAAAAGTAACTGGTAATTTGAGCTGAAATCTGGAAAGGTCCCACAAATTTTGATTCAGCTTTGAAGATGCAATGTGTACCCTAAAATTTTGGTTAATAACCAAACTTTTTCACCCACATGAAAGGTAGGAAGTGATCTGTGATGTCTCTTGGCAGCCATCTTGTAACATTCCTGAGCCTCCCTCAAAGTCTTGATCAGTTTCTCCTGAATCTCCTGCAGTTTAGTTAATCTGTTGGTAACAACAGGAATTGGAGTTGAGATAGAGAGATCAGGAATAAAAGCTGGATGATATCTGGTACTTAAAGTGGAGTTCCTCCCATTTTTAAAAGTTGCTTTCATCTACATGCCCACCCGCAGTGTATTCCTAAATGGATAATAATATATATTTTTTTATGTCTGAATACCTTATTTTTGTCTGTGTATGCTGCACTTTTGGTCTGGCCGCCTAGGCGATGCCGTCATAAGCTGATTCCCTTGGACTCCTGGGATATCCGTGTCATCTATCCCAGGAGTCCAAGCAAATTGACTTCTGGGGCTTCTGATTGACAGGTTGCCATAACAACAGGGCTGGAACTTCCATTATGCCACCATTGCTATGGCAACCTTCAATCAGCAAACATGCTGGGTAGCCAGCTGCACTTAATCCCGGAAGTGAACAGAAGTGAGATTCAGATGCCCACATCTACCATGGCTCCTGCCTGCTGACAAGGTTGTGTGATCAACTACAGATCTAAGAATAACAGGCATGAATAGAGTTATAACTATAGTCAATTACTGCAGTACATGTAATAACAATTGTGGTGGTGCTTTTAAAAAAAAACATTGCTGTGGAGACTGGAGCTCTGCTTTAAGAACAAAAGGACTTTGGGAAGTGGAGCTATGTTTAGAATTGTTATAATCAGACTCTGCCATAGGAAGATAGTTCACCTAGTCACGCTGAAGATCACTAACAATACATCTAAGGTTCTGCTCTAAAGTTTGATTGGTACTCTCGGTTTGACCATTAGACTGAGGATGAAAAGCAGAAGACAGATTACTTGTTACACCTAAAGCTGAAGAAAAGCTTTTCTAAAATTTTCTAAGTAAACTGTACTCCTCTGTCAGATACCACACCACACACCATCAGGAATGCCATGTAATCCAAAGAGTTCTCAAACTATGCAGTTTGTTCAGCAGGGGGTACCCCCTCAACAGGTACTACCAAGATGGTGGCCATTTCCTTTGAGGGAAGTTAATCGACCACAAAGTCCATATGCTCCCATGCTCTTGATGGAACAGGGAGCAGCTGGAGCAACCCCAGAGAAGAAGCTTGGGGTGTCTTATTACGTGCACAGATCAGGAAGAAGGCTACATAGCTTCTAACATAGTTCTTGTAACCGGGCCACCAAAACAAATGTGATAAAAGTTCTGTCCTAAAAACTTCAAAATGCCCAGCAAGTTTGGAGTAATGAACTAACATGAGGGATTCAACCTGAGCAGATTCAGATATGAAGAGACAATGTGCTTGAGTCCAAAAGCTGTTTTTTGTAGCCAAGGTTAAAGTCCTGAGATAGGTTTGTACAGTTTCCTTCCTGGAGAGGCTCAGACAACATCCTTGATAAGGCATCAGCCTTACCATTTCTTGACTCAGGTCTATACAAGATGATAAAATGGAACCTGGAAAAGAAGAGAGACCAACCAGCTTGTCTAGAAGACAATCTCTTAGCAGAACAATATCATTCCAAATGTTTATGATCAGTGAGTACAGGCGAAATGGATCTTCTAAAATCATCAACCTGCATATGCTTGAAAGTGTTAGAATGAAGAGAAACTTTTGGATCCTTCTGTACAAACTGACTAGCAGAAAAATGAATGCCACCAATACTTCCAAACATTCCCAGTCTCTCCTTCTTCCTCTCTGTAAGCCTCTGATCAGTTTGGATACATAATTGGATGAACACCTTGAGATCATTAGGAGTTTCTACTCTCGCAAGCTCATCTTTTACCTGCTTAGAGACACCTTGGCAGAACTGATTCTTTTGCGCTGCTTGCTTCCAAGTGGTATTTGAGTTCTAACGTTGGAATTCAGTTGTGTACTCAGCAACACAGCGTCTACCCTGCCACAAACTATGAAACTTTGCTTTGGCAGTAGTGCAGCGGTTATGATAATCAGAAATCTGGCTCATAGTAGTCACAAAAGTCTCAAAATTATTCAGCGTAGCATTGTCTTGTTCTACATATGGGGAGGCCCAAGCAAGGGCTTCCTCAATCAGAAGGTTGATAACAGATAGTACCTTCTTTTTCTCAGAAGTAAATGCAGTGAGTTGCATTTTGAAATATATGCAACACGGATTAAAGAAACCTCTGTAATGGCAGTGGTCTCCATTGAATATGAGTGGTAGAGGCATATGTGCATTAGCATCATCTCAGAAATGTAAGTCTAGCAATTGTTTTTGCAGAGCATGGATTTCTTTCTGTTGCCCTTTCCCCACTTTTTCCAATTTGTCTTGGTAGGTAACAGTGAACTCTTTCAGCTCTGCAATTTGCTGCCTACAAGGAGACAGAGCACGTTTTAAAGCTGCCTCTATGTTTGGGCCACATTATTCTGTCATGGTCAGGGGTCAGGCTTGCAGGACAGTAGCTATAACAGTAGAGCGGTTCCCACTGACCAGCTGGATACGTGCAGCAACAGGTCACACTGGCGGATGACATAGGCTCACCAGGGCTCTTGATGGGTGGAGATGGGTGTTGCTGCATGTTAATGCCAGGTCCTCAGGATCACCCCACTAGGAGGTGAGCAAGCCGGAGGTAAGTAACTTGTGGTCGCTGGTTGAGATTACTCAGAAGCACCAGCAAGGAACAAGCAAAAATTCAGTAACAAAAGGTAGCAGAGAAACGGACATCAGCAGGAGTGACAAGAGCAAGATATTGGCTGGAGAGAACACTTAACAATAATCTGGTAAACAGGAAGTGCAAAGGCATGGTTTAAATAGGAATTTCATGAAGGGAGTTTAGGGTTCAGCAAGACAAGGCATAAGGCAGGATTGTCCACTGGATTGGACAGGATGTTGTCTAGCATCTCAGGTAGCTCAGTAAGAAGAGACATCGCCAGACACAGCAGAGGTTGCAGGTTCAGGATTGGGTTCTGACAGAGATCCTGCAGATTTACATTTAATTCAGGAGTCTGTATTCAAATATTAATTTACACATGCAACAAATTTGTATAGTTAACAATGTTACCAGTTTGTAATTTTTCTTTGTAGCAATCGACACCGACGGACAGAGCAAGAAGAAGATGAAGAATTATTATCAGAAAGTCGAAAAACATCAAATGTGTGTGTGCGGTTTGAAGAATCGCCTTCATGTATGTTGAGTTTGTATGTTGTTTACTTGTTGACCTTGTAATTTAGTTTCTGCTTGGGTAGCTTTTTATGAATGCTAAGGGCAAAATATAGTAACTATATTCTGATTGCTACAGGCTTCTGCACATTCCTGATTTTTACAGTCTTGTACTATAAGCCTATTTTTTATCAAATAATGGAATTTAAATTAGGGTATTATTCAGCCTCGTAATGAAATATTTATAGATCTTGATTTATTTGAGGTAACTAAAATGAATAGTTTTTAAATAATTTTAAATAATAATTTTTGCACATTAAACATTTACATTGCAGATTGTCTCTACAGACATTAATGCTTGAAGAAATAAAACGTAACAACTAATTAATATAAGTTTTTCTTTAGGGATGCACCAAAATTTCATCAGCTGAAACATATCTGTTTTGCTGGTACGAAAAAGTGATACCACTGCATTGTGGTGGTTTGCCCTGAAAAAAAAATTACTGCATGCACTACTTTTTTCAGTGCAACACTTTGCAACTCAGTCACTGCGCTGCAGCCAGTAGAACTTAATGAAATGCCACTGTGTGACATTTCAGTAAAATTGGTTGAAAAAAAACAAGGTAACAGCGCTCTGTGCTGTGATCGGCTAATCGACTCTGCTGTCATCTTACCACACACCAAAGGCTGCGTACTTGTAGTTACAGCTCACTATACGGTTGCATGAGATAATTTAAAAAAAATGTAATCTATTGAGAGTGATTATCAGCAGGCTCTTTTTTGCTGTTTGACATTTTTGTCTTATTTGTGCTGTAGATATAAAAGGAGGAACACTGCGAGATTACCAAATCAGAGGCCTTAACTGGATGATCTCTTTATATGAAAATGGCATTAATGGAATATTAGCTGATGAAATGGTAAATCGTATATATTGTTTCTGAAACATGAATTATAAAGAATAAGCAAACATCAAAGTACAATAAATTCAGGAAATATATTTATAGTAGGGGCTAACAAACTTATTAATCAGACAGGTTATATGTATTATGTGGCGTACAGGTCTAGTAACTTGTGTTTATATATATATTGTAGGAAAAATATAGGTGGTTGCTTGTAGAAGAAAGTAATCTTGGTAGTCTAAATTCTTGCAGTCTCACTCACAATCTAAAAGTTACAAGTGAACTGAATTAATAACCTTGTAATACAGTCACTGTACTGTTTTTTGTTTTAATCCAGCTTTTTTTTAATTAAGAATGAAAAGTATAACAAATAGCCACTCAGTGGCATTACAGCACATGGTTTACAGAAAATAGTGTAATTACACAATATATGACCGATCTGGGCTACAACATGCCTGTTAGAATTTGCACACATAGTCGTATCAAAAGGTAAACAGTAAACATTCGTAACAAGCCTTTCTAATAGACAGGTAGCAGTCCTTTATTGTAATATCAAAAAGTAGCATACCCTATCCAAAGACATAAGGATAAACTGGATAAAGGATTGAACATCAGGTGGGAGCAAAAGTACCAACACTACCCATAAGGACTCTACTAGCTCTCATACTTGTAGTAGCCTAGTGATTACTAGCCGTGGACAGGCCAATCCAGGGATATCTAACCAGCTCTGCCAAATCATCTCAAATTTACGCAGAGCATTTTGGTGATGATAGGTAACTTTCTATTTCTTCCTGCATGCGGAGTAACACAAGGAGAGGATAATTAGGAGGTCTGGGATAACAAAAGGAGTGTGTAATCCCTGAGGGGATAATCAGCCACCAGAGGATACATCCATTACTCCTAAAGGAAGGATCTCCCAATTTTACCAGCAAAAGTATATGTCTAGCAGGTTCCAGGGAAAGTGAACCAAAAGCGTGTATAGCCTAATTGCAGGCATCAAAGGAGGTGAGCGCACATCTTCACTATTTGAAGGATTCACAAAAGTCACAAATTGAAGAACAAGCACCAAGTCACTATATATAAACAATTGTTTATTCAATGGGACTATTATTTTGATGATATTTGGATTCATACTAATCACTACTAATTATTTATGAGCATTTGGTTATTTTTAATTTATGGGGGATCATTTAAATGCGTTTTAGTTGAGGGTTATTAGTTGGTTTACTATTTTTATTATATTAAATGAGGGTATTATGAATATAAATGAAATTGAGGGTATTAGTAAGTACATCTTGTCACTAATAGATGATTTATGAGCACTTGGTAAAATATTTTTTTAGAGGAGTATTTCATGTGGAATTATTTTGATATTTATTTGGAGGAGATTGATTAGTTGAAACTATCTATTTAAATATTTTTTGGTATTTTTATACACTTTTATTAGTTATTTGTATCATAATTTGAATTAATTTAATGGTAATAATTTAATTATTATTTATTGAGAAGTATTTAGGAGCGCAACATATATTTGTAGGTAACTTGTTCTGTTAGCAAGAGAGAGTTAACATATTCTACCCATTGTTTCTTAGTTGGTATCATAGAGGACATCCAATACTTAGCAAGCAGTTTTTTGGCTAGATATAGGAGGTGCATAACCATAATAAATATACCAGGTTGAAACAGTTCATCATCTCTTGAGTCCAGTAAACTTATTAATGGATCAGTAGGGGTGGGGACTTGGGCAACCAAGAAAAAAGTCTACAGCACCTCCACCCAGTATCGTGAAAATTTTGGACACCTCCAGATCATGTGGATGAAATTCCCCTATGCATATTGAATTTAGGACACAAGGGCGTATCTCTCTTACCCCACTCAAACAATTTGGCAGGTGTCGGGTAATCCCGATGAAGGATAAATAATTGTGGAAGTTTATGCGAAGGCGATAGGGAGCTTATATGTTTCAACTCTAGAGCCATGTCCCATTGGTCTCGACTGATGTCCCCTATATCTTGGGCCCAGTGCTCTACACTTGAGTGTGGCATGGTCTTAAGTGGAGGCTAATAAAAGTGCTTATCTATTCTACGTGCTATCAAACCTTTCCATGTAGAAGCATGAATAATTTCAGCTACCAGAGGGGAATCAGATTTGCTGATGGAATGAGATTGCTGGCAGGTCCATTTCCAAATGCAAAATTGCTGGCAAATCAGGAGCAATAAAAGTAGTTATCTGAGCAATAGGATCCAAATTCTATCTCAGGCCCCAGCCAGCAAGTTGCTGAAACTGGGAAGCCAACAAGTTCCTTTTTGGCTTGTGGGACTTGCCAAGCCCCCTCTGTCCTTACCATACTGCAGGATAGTAAAGCTTATCCTAGCCTGTTCCTTCTTCCAGATAAGATCCCTAAATTGGGAATCTATGAGCTTAAACCTTTCCTGGGAAATCCATATTGGGGAATTATGGAATATGTATAGAAGCTGCAGGGCCCAGACCATTATAATGAGATTAACTCTCCCCACAGATAAACCAACCATGACCTTTCTGATGTTGCCTATCTAGTAAGGGGGCTAGGTTTATCTGAAGATATTTTGAAGGGTCTGGTAACACCAGCACTCCAAGATATTTGAAAGATTTGGCTGTAGGAATCTACCTGGCCCCCTGAGGTAAGGGGGAGACCAGTGGATCTAGAGACATAAGAATGGATTTGGTCCAATTAATAGTGAAATCTGAAAGTCCACAAATTTAGTAATAAGGGTCTGCAGCGAGCTAGCAGTATCTCCCAGATACAATAAAGCATCGTCAGCATATAAGGATATTTTCTCCTTTAGCTGGCCTCCCTGCGGAATCCTATGATAGAAGGGTTTTCCCCAGATTAGAATAGCCAGAATTCCACCGCCAGGACAAACAGCAGGGGAGACATAGGGGACCCCTGACGAGTGCCCCGGTGTAGCAGAAAAGGAGGCAAAAGTGTGTTATTTATCCAAAGCTTAGCCTTCAGCTTTATCCCAAGCCAAAGTGGATCAGGACCTCCCAGAGGTAGGGTCATTCCACACTGTCATAGGTGTTGGCCACATCAAGTGACAGGATGGCCCTACCTCCCAGATTAACCGCTGACATCTAGCAAATTTAAGAACAAATGTCTAATATTATTAGTCATTGATCTAGATGGGATAAATCCTGATTGGCCACAGTTAATCAATTTTACCTATCACCTTAGATAGTCTGGTGGCCAGGACGCGAGCAAGGAACTTAGCGTCTGTGTTCAATAAAAAAATGGGGCAGTAAGAGTCTGGAGAGAGTTTAATGTTTCCCTGGTTTGGGGATGGCTATCAGAATCACCTCTTTCATAGTGTTTGGTAGCACGCCAGTATCTGCTGCCTCCTGTAATGTTTGAAAAAAAGGGGGGGGGGGGGGGGGGGGGGGTAAAAGGATATCCCCATAATGAGTATATATCTCAGTGGTAGGTCCATCAGAGCCCGTTGATTTATTAGTAGAGGACTTGGTCAAAGCTTCCAAAAATTCTTCAATAATAATAGGAGAATTTAAAGGTATTTGTGTCGGAGGCAGAGAGCAGGGGGAAGGGGCAGTCATCCAAAAATGTTCCTAATTCAGTGGCGTCGTAGAGATTTTTGATGTGTAAAGATCAGAATAAAAATGATGGAAAGCGTCAATAATGGCTGAACAGGAAGTATATATATATATATATATATATCTCCATTATTTGATCTAATAGCGTGAATAGAGGAGATATCCTGCTGCACCCTAGTCATCGGAGCTAAGAGATGACCTGTATTCTGTCCTTCCTCAAAATAAGTTTGTTGTAGAAAATAGTGCCTCTTCTCCACAGCAGAGAGAACTACAGAGTTATACAAAGACTGGGCCTCTATCCATTGTTTTTGAGTAGTAGGATTAGGGTTCGTAACCATATTGATCCTGAGACCTTTTCTTAATGCTTGTGATTTTTCTTATAATAAGGCAACACAAAAATGCCTTTAGCGTATCCCATAGGGTAGCCGCCGAAGCTGACCCCACATTTACTTTAAGGAAATTAGCCAATTCTTTAGGCAAGGGGTCCCTGGCCGGAAAAAAGAGTTAGCTAAAATGGGTTAACATGCCACAGAGGGCGGTGAAATTGGGTAGAGGTTGAAAGGCTCACCCAGAAGGAAGAGTCATCTGAAAGAAGCCAGGGCTCATATGCTGAATCTACTACATAATGCATCATCACTGAGTTACCTAGACCCATATCTGTTTGAGAAAGACCTCGATGGGTGGCCAAATAGCATGAGTAGCATTTCATATCAGTATGTTTCCTTCTCCAGACATCCTTAAGACCCAATTCGATAAGCAGATTGGCAAAGCAAAAGTATGTGTTGACTGGGTATCTCCCCTTGAAGTAACAGAATTTGTCAAGTGCGGAGTTCAGAAAATGAATAAAATCTCCCATTGCCAGAATGGGGACATCCAGGTACAGAGCCATAAATTGATCCAATCTTTTTAAGAGTTCAGGGGAATAGGGTGGAGAAATATACATAGCAGTCGGCATGTAGAAAAAACCATTTACTTTACAAAGTAAAAATGTATACTGCCCGCTTTCGTCAATGCTGCTTCAGGCATACAAAGGGGACCATTTTGGAAACCAGTACACTCACGCCCTTAGAAAAGGAGAAGTAGGTGGAATAAAATTGGAGGGGTAAGAAATTTGCAAGAGCACAGTAAATGGACAGAATCAGGTTTTAAATGCGTTTCCTGTAAGCATATCAGAGAGGACTTTAGTCAGTTAACATATGTAAACATTACTCCCCTCTTAATATTATCGGCCAGTCCTCCTATGTTCCAGGATAACAAAAGCATACTTTTGACCAGGGGGCATTCAGTGGTGTAAAAAGTTGAGGGTTATAAGTGAGCAGTACAAAAGAATCCCGCCTGAAATAAAAGAACACAAATAAGTGCAGTAATTGTAAAAAAACTTGACCAACCAGATCCAAATGGGAACGAGGTACCCCATCAATAAAAAACAGTAG